CCAATGAGAGGAAGGGGAAAAAAGAAAAGAAACTTCAAGGGAAAGGATGGAGATATAAAGTAAAGGGGGAAAATGCTCATATTACTTGGAAAAAAATTTATTTGTATTTTAAGACCTAGAGAGGGAATAGCAGCTGTGGCTGAGAATGTGGAGTCATTGGCAAATTTAATTTTGGACGAACTGGTGCTTCTGTGAAAAGGTTCACTCTGAACCCTGCAAAGAAAGCAGCCACACCTCATACATGGCTGTCCCTTCTGGATGCCATCCGGGCAATTATGGAGATTGATAAATCCCATGGTCTGCAGTCCATAGCTAGAGGTCTCGGAGGGCTGATGGCTGAGTTCTGGTTCAAATCCAAAGGCCTGCAACCCAGTAGGAACAGTGGTTCAGTTTTATTCTGAAGACCAGATGACTCATGACTCAGGGAGAATCAACATTTCAGTTCAAGCCCAAAGGCAGGAATAGACCTTGGCCCCAGTGCAAGGAAATCCAGCAGGAGTTCCCCCTCACACCCTGAAGGGTCAGAGTTTTGCTCTGTTCAAGCTTTTGACCCACTGGATGAGGCCAAACCACATCAGGGAAGGCAATCTGATTTACCCCATCTACCAAATTAAATGTTAATCTCCTCAAGAATCATCCTCATAGGCAAACCTAGAATAATGTTTGTTCAAATATCTGGGCATCCCCTAGCCTAATCAAGCTGAACCATGAAATAAACCATCACAGGGACTCTTTCCCAACCGGATGCAAACTCAACTCACAAAGACCTTTACCACAGCTCCCACCACAGACCTCAGAATTTAGCTTTGTTATCTCAACTCACAAAGACCTTTACCACAGCTCCCACCACAGACCTCAGAATTTAGCTTTGTTATGTCAACCTCATCAGTACCTTCCCCGAGAGAAACTGGTTTTTGTATAAATACAGCACAAATATTAATCAAGGTGATCTAAACATCTCACTCATGTAAATCATAACTCAAGTTTTTTTTAAGTAAAATAAGGGTAATGCTGTCACCACACAATCTGCAGTAGGACCCTACATTTCTAAAAGTGTAACATCACCTGCAATTCACAGACAGATGCACATGTGGAAAATCTGGTGCCCCAAGCTGAGCAAACAGTGTGTCCAGGATGAGAGAGGTCTCTAAGAATGTCCCAGGTTTGATCACAAGACCTAGCACACAGTTGTACTCAACAGTATGATTTATTAGAAAACAGATCAAAAAAAAATTTAAGGGAAAAACTTATGAAGCAAAGTATAATAAGAAACAGGAGAAAGCCTCCAAGGACCTCACCAAGAGGAGCCGTATAAAATGTGCCTCTTTCCTCCACTGTCCCACTGTGACAGTACATGTGCAATACAGTCTACCAGAGAAGCTTGCAGACACTCAGCATCCAAGATTCATATTGGGGGCTGCCCACGTAGGAACCCTCTGCTTGACACATATCAAAATTCTAGACTCCCCAAAAAAATCAAATATGCAGCATAAACCCGATAATTTGAAGGGATAGTTTATGCACAGTGAGAGAATCTGTTGGGGAACCCTCCCACATACCAAGTTCCCAGGCACCAACGAAGGGTCAATCTTGCAAGCAAGCCTTTATAAAAATAGTAATCTCAAGACTCCTATGTTAACATTTTTCAGCACAAGCAGGACAGATTTGTTCCCCCAGTCACTGGATTTGGTATGAGAATGAGAACAGAGGAAGGGCACCCACTTCAGAGAGGCACCCACTCAGTCACAAAAGTTTGGGTTGAGAACTGGACTTTCTTCTGCCAAAATACAAGGAACTGGATGTTGCATTGCTTTTGCTAAAAGCACTGAGCCTTCACTTGGGCCTATAGATGCCCAATGAGTAACCAAACCAAACAAAAGCTTGGCATCTCTGCCTTCATATTGCATCTGCCTCCTTTTGCTATCTGAAGCTCCAAGTTAGATTCCCACTCAATTCTGCACATAGACATGTTAGTCCTTTAAGGAATATTCATTTAAAAGCTGATAATAAGTGATTGATTAGTCCTTAGCTTTCCTAATCTCTCTCCTCATCTTTTGGGTGCTGTTTGACTTACTGCATTTGCAAGAATGGTGTCAACACTATTTATGCCATTATGGAAATATCTCTATTATATTCCCCAGAAAAGATACATTAAACTAAGTTTTCTTACTCTACCTGTGAAAATCTACCACTTCAAAGTTCCTACATTAGACCCCATCAGCGGGGAAAAAGTTTCAGAAGAAACAACCTTTGGCTTTTTTCCCCTAAAAATGGAATGGTGACTTGATAGTGGGGGTTTGAAGGAGGACCAAATCATTAACTAACTCCATCTTGCCTTTTCAATCTGTTTTTTTTCTCTGAGTCATTCTGTCCAACAGTCACCTTGATTTCTAGGAACAACAGGTCTGATCAATAAACATTTGTATGACAAAGGGTGAAACTACCCTCCAGACAGCAGCAACTTTCATCTGACAAGCCCTCACATGATCAATCTTAAGATAATCATCAACCAGGCCACAGCCTAAACAATACTGCCAGCTATGCAAGCCCCTGGCCCTTGCCTATATTATCCCAAAGCTCTTGTCAGCAACCCCAAAGACAGGCTTAAGATATTGGTCTCCTGTTCCTTCCCTTCATGGGCCACACCAAATAAATTTCTTTTCTGCTTTCACTCCACTGCATTCTTTATTTGGTCCCTTGGGGCAAGTGGCTAGACCTAATCCATTGTGACCCCCTAACCCCAGAGTCAGGCCTCTGGCCTAGAATTCAGGTAATATAACCAGCAGAAATACAAAATTCAATATGCTCATATGAACTGTCTTCAGCGGGTTGAGAAGAACCAAGGCTCACAACACAGATTAAAGTAAAGTGGAAAGGTTGCTGAGTATTAGCAAGAGAATGAATACTACTACTAAACTCTGGAAACTGAACGAACTGATCTTCAGGATGTTGCTATTTAATTATTCATTGCACACAATTCCAAATGATGCTAAATAAAGTAGAATTTACTGTTACTAGCATTTCTTTGGTTGCAATAAAATATTCTCTTTGTCATTCAGAAAATAAAATGAAAAACTCATCTGTGATTCGAGGAGCATTTGCAGAAACACTCTCACTTTGGTCATGAGGTTAACATTACAGATTTGCATCACAGCAGAGAAGCTAGGAGGGGAAACCATTTCTCTGGCGATAGGCTACTGCACTTGCCTTAGGATTGGGTTTCTGTGTATTTAAAAGGTGATTGTTTTATTTTAAAAAGCAATTGCCTAAAAAAATTTGGCATCATCTGAGAATAACCTTAAGGTTCTGTTAAGGAAAATGTAAATGCAAAAATGCCTTGGATAGTGGATGGCAGCTCTTCATCAGACTGAAAAACTTGGTTATGCATATTCACAGTGGTCTTTGCATTTTAGCTAAAGGGACATTCCCTTTAATATGTAAACAGTTTTAATGATCATAAAGATCCTCAGACACTGACCCCAGGGAAAGACTGAAAAGCAAGATGAGACCATCTGTCAGCTTGATAGAAAAGACCCAGAGCATGGCGAGGCATCAACAATGTCTTAAGAGCATCTTTCTCCCTCTCTCTGATTCTATTATAGTGATAGTCATCTGTTAGTAATTTACCCTTCAAAAGACTAAAATGTTGAGTGTCAAAAGTTCCGAGGAGCTACCATCTTGGTTTGGGTTAGACAGAATTTAGGGAATAAGGAATAAAACAGGAAATTTCTAACTCAGTCTATGAATGATAAAGGAGTCTGTCCAGAGATACAATCATCCAAAAAAATAGTGCTGCACTCACAGGAAGGATGCGCTGAGAGCTCTCATCAATAGGCATGTCTTCCATCTTCTTCTATCTTCCTTATCACTAACAAGTGGCAGAAATCATTGTATTTGGTATTTACCTTTGGGGAAAAATATTTTTATGTCAAAAAAGCACCTGATGATTCTATCTTTCATACCTCTGAATGTAAAGACACAAAATAGGAAGGAAGGAAACTAGACTGTGTTCTTGCTGAGAAGAAAATGGGTGCACACAGAGACACTGACCAAGTTAACTTCTTCCTTCAGCAGGGTACAGAAGGACAGTTTTTCCCATCACCCTCCTGGTTCCCAAAATGTATTAGACGTCTTCCCAGATGTCTGTAATTTCTCCCCAACACCCAATTTCTGAGTTGCATTAGAGATGAAATGGAGCAGGCTTAGCACATTCTCACATTTTAGAATGATGAAATTGATTGCATTTCTTGTGAACACACACAAAAAAATTCAGGGTCAGAGTTAGAATACCATGTGAAATAGTATGATGGTTTTTCAATTGGACTCCTCTCTATCCTATAGTTCAGTGGAGGTACTCCAAAGGAGGTCAAAGGAAAAACACAATGGTAGAGGTGGCCATTGCCCTTACTGTAGTCAGAACCGCTTTTAACCCACTTGTATGTGGGACATGCATGTACGTATGAATGTAGCTATGTGTATGCATGTGCATAGGTATTCCTCCTATGATTAATTTTTAAAAATGCATTCTTGCAAAAACTAATTTAAAATTCTGGAAAAGGTGAAATAGTAGGCCAAGAATCAAAAGATTCATTTCCTGCATGACCTCAGGCAGGTGACTTCATCTCTTTTTCCCTGATCAGCTAAACAAAAAGGGTAGCTTTTCTGATGTCCATGGCTCTCTCTAGCTCTGGAAGTTTATAATGAGAAAGGAAGCAGAGCGAGGGGGTCAAAGTCACAAGTGTAGAAACTCTCCTTAAAAATCAGAGAGGCTATGGACACCTTCAGAAAAGGTGAATTGCCTCTTCCTGTATTGTCTCCAATGTAATATATGACAAAATGCCTCCCGAAGCCACGTCTTGAGTCCCCAGATGCTTTCTGAGACAGCTTCTGGGCTAGAGAAAATAGCAGTTCAAACTCTGCATTAAAATTAATGGCTTTTTTCTTCCCTGGAGACTCTTTCCTTCCCCACCCCTCCCCACCCACGCCCACACTCCCTCACACACATGGTTCTCCCCAGCGTTAGTCTACTATGAGCAAGGAGATCCAGTGTCTTTCTGGATCATGTCAGAAGGTCTATACACTGAGATGTCAGAGACTTTTACAGCTCAGTCCCTGGAAAGGATCAGACTATCAGGAAACCATGAATGGGTCCAAAAATATTTTCAGCCAATTCATCCACATTTTTTGAAACCTCTTTCCCTTGAAATCTTCAAGCATTAGGTTTCAGTCTGGCGCTGTGTGAGGCTATGCTGGAAGCCAAGGTGACAGAGGTGAGTAAAGCATGGTCTCCACTTTGAGGAGCCCCTGGCCTATGGGTAGGCAGAGGCTATCCACTATAATATACAGTGCTGAGAACTGTGATAGAAGAGGACAGGAATGTCTTTGGCATCATTCTCAAGTTAGTGTCTTAGTTGTTGCTCAGTAAAGGTTTGTAGAATGAATAACTGAACCTATGGAAATGAAATCAATTGGTTTTCACTGGGTTGTGAGTAGGAGAGAAAGCAATTGGAGCTATATTACTAATGCACACTCTGATAAGGTATGAAATGCTTGAGAGTCTCACTGCTGTTCTTTTTAGGAACTTATTGATCTTTCCAGAATGGAGAAAATGTTCAAAGGGATAATCTCTGATTTTAAAATACAGACATAAATAAGTGAGGTTTTAGAAAGTCGGTTGGTTAGTTTCTAGGTAGAAAGGAAAACAATGAAATGTTTAGTCACATGTCTAATTATTATCCCCCTTTTTTGATTGCCCACACCCTTGCCTCCCAGGAATATGCACCAAGACAATAAATAACTTATAATTTAATGCTCTAGACAATGAATTAAAAAGTGCCCAAACACTGGAACCTCGAAATAACAATTAACATATTTCAGCTTACTCCTACCTTCCTTTCCACTTATAATTAATGATGTTAGGGTAGGGTTGCCGGATAAAATACTGGACACACAGTTAAATTACAACTGAAGGCAAACAATGAATAATTTTTCAGTGTAAGTTTATCCTTAACATTGCTGGAACATACATAACTGGAATAGACACCAGTCAAATCTAGCCATCCTAGTTGAAAAGAACTATTAGGGCCAAGTAGAGAGCTGTGTCCTTAATAAAAATTACCACCAAAAAAAAAAAAAGTTGGCACTAATTCCAAGTTCATGTATTAACATTTTTGCCCAACTCCCTTATTTCCTTAGGTAGTCCTGACAACATGTATCTGCTTCTGGATATCCTTTGTGAAATCTTTGACCAAAATGAGCAGAGCCCAGATGGGACATTCTAAAGGTGAAAATTCAATAGAGCTCAGCTGCAAAGGACAACTTGTTCTACCCAGCCCAAGGCCAGGCCGCTTATAGTCACTGTTGACCCCTTCATGGTCTCTGCCCACATCCACCCTTCAACAACATGACCCTGCCTCCAAGTCACAGTCAGCTGGCCCTTTCTGTTGGGAATTTGTAAGCGGGACTGGGAGATTCTTGTTCAGTTCAGAAAGAGTGTCTTCAATGGAGGAGATCCTGATTCAAAAGTTAATGGTGACTGCATTATGGCATCCTCTGTCCAAGAAGAGAAAACTGGACTTCAGGGTAAATAAGAAACAATCCCCAAGAGTAGACATTTGAAAAGGAAAAAACACAAGAGACTGAAAAGTTCATTCTAGTTCCTTGCTAGCACCCAGCTGCTTCTCTGCCTGTGTTTTCAATGAAAACAAGCAATATCTTTATAAAAAGTTACCCCATTTGTTTGATCTAATTCATGTCACCTTCTATTACTTACAGCAGCAATCTTCACTGTTACTACAAATAATTCATTTTTTAAATCTGTCTCTCTTCACAAGGGGTTTCAGGCACACATGCATAAAGGATGAGAGACTGACTTCTTTCTTAGAGTGCAGTCAAACCACCCATCCTTTCCGATTACTCCATCTATTCATTTTAAAATATATAACATATATTTTTAAATATATAACATTTAAAAATATACAAATTAAGTATCTGCTCTGTTTGGAGGTGTGTTTTGGATGCTAAGACATGAAGTCAGTAAGGTAAGCAAAGTCCTCCTAGAGCTGTTTGGGTATACACACACACACACACACACACACACACACACACACACGTGAGAGTAATCATAATGCTGTTGGGAAAATACAGAAGAAAGTTCAAATCCAAGATATATTTCAAAGGAAGAAACTGAACAAATTGTTGACCCATTAACATATGGAATGAAGAGGTGATTTTCATGTCCATTGTTTAGAATGATGGAAGTAACTCTTGACAAAAAAAAACACCTAAAAATCAAAAAGAATTCAAACTAATCTTTCTTTATGCTCCACCCACAGCTTGATTTTTTTGCCCAATGCCCTTATTTCCTTATGATAGTCCTGCCAACATGTGCCCGCTTCTGGATATCTTTTTCTCCAAATCATCAGCCTTTCTCCTTCTTTCAACTCATCTATGTTCTTACAGGTAATTCAAAAACTACTCCTCAGATCCTCTGATCTGAAAATCACAGAAAATAAAAGATACAGATGAGAATAGTTGGAGTTGACTATTTTTCAAAAGAACAATATGTGGAAGTCATATTTAAAACAAAGTCTCTGTACAAACATTTCAAGGGAAAATTGGACCACATACAGACAAGAAAATACAAAATAGATTATTGATTAGTTAAAAACTTCTTGATCTCTCCAATAAACAAACAAATACAAATCAAATGAAAAACATTTTCACCTGTCAGATTGGCAAGGTTGCAAACATCCCTCATTAGTAATGTAGTATTGAAACAGTGTGGTGGATGGGAGTGAGGAGTCTTACTACTTCACAGAGAGCAGTTCAGTGATACATATCAAAACATTAAATACATCCACCCTATGACCCAGCAACTCCACTTCTCAGAAGTTTTCCTTAGGAAGTAAGAGGACAATGGCATATAGTTATAATTACAATATATTCACTAGAGATATGTTTAGAAGAAAAAAAAATGGAACTTTTCAACATAGCAATTAATATTAAGATTGATCAAATAAACAAGATATAGCACATAATAAATTATGATACAAATAGGAAAAATAGCAATATAAGTCTAAATTACATCCATTTGCATAGGAAAGACATCTTCTGTCTAACACATGAAATAAAAGTTACAAAATAGTATGGAAAAGTACATCCATTTTTCTTTTTTGGTATGTGCCCCCATTTTACCCATAGATATGCATGATTAGAAGAATTTTGGCAGTATATTCACTACAATATAACAGTGTTTAAGTCTAGATAATTGGATTATGACTCATGTACAATCTTTTTTAAGATGTATCTTAATTTTTATTTTAAAAAATAAATTTTATCATAAAATAGACATTAAAAGTATTATTACATTAAAAAAATCTCACTCAAGGCTCTTGGTTTAATCTCTGCTACCCATACACACACACACTCACACACACACACATATAACTTAATAACAATAAAATACCATAATTCTAATATAAGTTACTGGCCAAAGCTATTATTAAGCATTTCATTGAAGTTTATATACAAACATATGGGAAAATATTCAGCTTTACAAGTATCAAAGACATGAAAGTTAAAATATTCATATTTTTCAATGTAGTGAAGATATTTCTTTTTAACCTAGAATACCCTGTACAAGTAAAGGGTAGCTAAATGTGATCAAACATAGTTAATAGACATGTTAATAATAAACATCATATACTTTGATGCAAACAAATCTAAATACAGGTACACTGATAAAATTTACATTTATCACAAATTTTTAAAAAATTTAAACAAATATCTGTCCATCAGGAAATGATTTACTATATCTTTACAATATCATGATACAGTTGATATTGCATTTATAAAGACCTTATATTGCAAAGCACTTTTTAAAAAATATGTAAAGCTGAATATATCTATATATACATTTTACATATACAAGTTATATATGTATATGTATAAGCTAAGTTAAAAAAATAAATTTTAAAAAGAAAAACTATAACAGATTCTTCAGAATACCTAGGAGTACTAGGACTAAGTAAATTTTACCTCCTATACTTTTTTATATTTTCTAAATGTTACACTGTGAATACAAATTATTTTTATGATTGAATTTTTCCACCAATTTTCTCCTAACGTTTGGTAGATTTTCTACTCCATGAAGCTATTTAAATACTGAGTTTGCTATGTATAGTCTTGCTGAATAGTTCATTTGGGTTCATACCAATCTCCTGTAGTTCCCCTGTGCCCAGGATATCAAGGTCAAACACCATGTTGGTGTGACTTTCAAGGACCCAGGAAGCTCCCCCAACCTCCTGATCCAGTCTCATCTCTGATTCCTCTCCTAAATGATATCTACTCCAAGCCACTGATTCATTGCTAGCTTCAAACTTTGGTACAAGCTGTCATCCCACCTAGTGACCTCTTGCTGCAAGCTTTGCCTTCCTAAGGTAGAACTCCTTAAAAGACTCAAAGAATTTCCACTCCTCCAAAAAGCTTCCTGTGGTTACTCTGGCTGTCCTGACCCCATCCTTCACCAACTGGGTCTATACCCTTAACCACTCACTTTGACCCTTATCCTACACTATCCTCCCTAAGTAGCTGGGACAGTGATTTTCAGGTGGATTGTGTATTGGCAAAACAAAACTCGGCACACTGACATCCACTGAAAAATTCTTCCAAAATTTAATATGAAACAGAAGCCATGACAAAATGACTGTGCCGAGTGATAGATAAGATATCAAATCCCATATGTGGCCCAAATTTCCTAGGGGGTGGCATTTAACTGACGATGACTCTCTCCACCAAAGGTAAGCTCTTCCCTGACCTGAGAGGTAATTTTAGCTACAGTAGAGACTTTTCATACAAGAGCCCCACATCACCATTCAGAAAGAATATACCTATACCTCTAATGGTCCAGGTGAGGGGATATTTCTAGACTTAGACTCTCCTCATCCTTGAAATAATTGTGGCATCAGTGATATCGTGTTTTCTCCTAGGAGGGAGGGAAGTAGAGTCCATGCCCAGGAATTTCTGAGAAGCAAGGCTCTTACCTGCACCCTAAGTAGCCAGACCTCTCCCTTGGCTGCTGCGTCGTTTACAAGCATAGAAATTCACCCCCAGATGAGACTATAAAGGTGAGGGAATGGGACCTAATACTCATCACTTACCATCATCATCAGGATTGCCAGCTCATCATTGTATACAGGATTACCAGTTCTGAGTACCTGAAGTTAGCCAGAAACATGACCTGTGTTATCCCGTTCTCCTGACAATGCTGAGAAGAAGAGGTCATCTCCACTTTTCTTAAACAGGGGCACAGGGTCTCAAGGTTGGTACCTTATCAAAGGTTGTAGACCTCAAAAGTAATCAAACAAGATATATAACCTGTGTGATCTTTCCACTGCCCCAGGGGCCATTCTGTAAATCCTTCACACCCACTCTAATGTATTAATGACCACCCATTCAAAACACCCTTCTTGGTGTCTAACCTACTTCCTGCAAGCTGTAGCTTTAAGCCCTTTCCTCCTGTTCCCTTCTTGGAAGAATTGGTCCCCAGGCTCTGAAACAATAGTTCTTCTGCCAGAATTGTTAAATCACCCTTTGGCCATCTTTCAGGATGAATCATCCCAGATCTTCACAGGCCTGATTTTTGGAACATTATTCACTTCCATTCTGTTCTCCCAAACGCTCTTCTCCTCTGCAGCTTTCTGACATGCATCTCTCCATTTTGAAAAGTAGTTAAGAATTTCCAAGGCTGTTTAAGGTTTGGGGGGTTTTATTCTCTTTGAGAAGGTTAGGGAAGGTTTAATGGTTGGGGGCGGGGAAACTTTCCATCTGTTCAAGTATAATGCCTCATTTCTGAGGGAAGAGAGATTAGAAGAAAGCTCAGAGGGCAAGGGCCAGAGAAACAACTTAGAGAATAAAAATAGATGAGCTCCAATGAAGATGAATCAGAAACGTGGGATTAAGTTTCCCCGAGGCTTTCAAATCTTACCAAGAAATGTGCTGGATAAACTAGGTTTGGATCTGATTTATTAAATGCAAAATGATTTTTTTTCTTTTAAAAAATGGGTAAGATGCTGAGCATTTTCCCAGCCCTCTTGCTAATGCAATTAAGTACCATCAAAGATCTGAGCAGGTCAAAGTGGGGTGCCTGTCTGAGTACCCCGAGGGCTAGTACTTTCTGACCAGGAAGTCTCCAGCTGGGTATAGAAGTAAGAACACCAGCCTGGCGCTCTCTCGCGCTCTCTCTCTCTCTCTCTCTCTCTCTCTCTCTCTCTCTCCTTCCCAGCTACCCTGAGGAGAGCAGCTTTCCAACACAGAGCCTTCCATGAATCCAGAACAATGGAGCTGGCTGAACACGGACTGACACATCTGAAACTATAACCCCCAAATAAACTTCTCCTTTAAAAATAATTTTAACACTACCAGCCTGAAAATTAAGAGACCTAGATTCCAGCCCTGGCTCTTACTGGCTGGCTTAGTAAATCCTTTTATTTTCCTGGAGCTCAATTTCTCCAAATTTTGTTTTTATTTTTATTGTTTTTGCAGTGCTGGGGAATCAAACCCAGCTCCTTGCAGAAGATCTAGGCAAGGGTTCTACCACTGAGCTATATCCCCAGCCCAGTTGCCCCAAACTTAAACCAAAAGGTTTCAGACTGCATGATCTCAAATATGACTCCTTGCTAGGTCACATAATTTCATATTTCTCCAAAGAATATCAGTTTCCAGAATGTCATCCACGAAACACTGATCCTACAAGATGCTTGGTGGAAAGCTAGGTCTTAATTTGTGAAGTGCCACTTGTGTGGATCCTCCCCTTGAGATTTATAGTGAACATTCACATATTAAAGACTATATGAAGACCTGCCAAAAAAAAAAAAAGGAAGACGACAACTTACCTCAATTAAACCCAACATTCCCTTAATTTCATTCCATAGAATTATTTTATTATGATGATGATTAATATTGTTACCCTATGGAAAGTATTTTCATAAACACAGATGGTAGAGCCTATATCTCCTTTCTTCTTACCTCTGGGGTTCTATCATCCATTGTTCCTCCCTCCCTATCATGTCAGATCTTGGAGAGACTCCCCCAGAGCTAGGGACTGAGCACTCAGTGTGCTTAAAGGAATAAGTAGGATCAGTACTTGTTTTTGTAAGAACCATGTTTGGTGGATGACATTCTGGAAACTGATATTCATTGGAGAAATATGAAATTATGCTACCTAGAAAGGAGTCATATTTGAGATCATACAGTCTAAAACCCTTTGACTTAAATTTGAAACCATGGGGCTGGGGATATAACTCAGTGGTAGAACACTTGTTCCTTTAAGCACTGTATTGCAGGCTGATCCATGACGTTCATGTTTGCAAACAGAACCAAGAATAAAACGGAAGGGTCGATTAGCTAGGTATTTAATGGTGTTTTGTCCTTGGTACTGAAGGTAGGATAAAGGTGTGTTCTCTCTCTGAACATCACCAGTAGAGGACCTCACCTCACTCTCCCCATTAGACCTTTGGATATTTCTGAACAAAGAGAAGGAGCAGCAGGACCATCAGCAAAATAACTCTTCCCTTGACTTCTGTTTTGGAAAAAAGTCTAACCTCATTAAGAGGCTGTCATAGTCTACTAAGCTGCCATAGCAAACCACCCTAGCCTGGGTAGCCTAAACAACAGAACATTATTTTCTCCGTTCTGAAGGCTGTAAGTCCAAGGTGAAGTGCCACCACAGCTTATTTCTGCTGAGGCTTCTCTTCCTAACTCACAGATGAGTACCTTCTCAGCATGTCCTCATATGGCCTTTCCTCTGTGAAGAGAAAAAGAGAACCTTGCTTTTTCTTCCTCTAGTTATAAGCACACTAATTCTATCAGATTAGAGTTCCATCTTTACAACCCCACTTAACCCTAATTACCTCCTCAACAGCCATATTTTCACCTATCATCAATTTGGGAGGTTAAAGCTTCAATGTTCAAATTGGGGAGAAGGATAAAGTTTAGTTCATGACAGGGAGAATCTTCTAGATTATTATAAAGAGGTAATAAGAGAGATGGTTTTGTGAGTTTAAGAAATAAAAAGACTCAGAGGAAGAAGCAATATTCTAGGCATGAATGGAGGAGAGTGGTCTAGGGGAACCTGCTGACCCTGGGAAGTGTCAGGACAATAAAGGGGTTTGGCTCATGGCATACCTTGGAAGGATGTGCCCTGGCACCATTCATGATTGCCTGGGCCAGCTTGGCACAGAGGGTACAGAGTTACCTGCCTTCAAGTTCATGCAGACTCCAGTGAGGGGTTATCAGCAGTGACTTGTGTGATCACAAAATCGGAGCTGTTCACCAAGAACACAAGACTTCAGGACATTTCCATATATACTGGGACAAGAAAGAACCTCAGGGATGATAGAAATTGATT